AGGCTATGATCTGCTGAGTGGAGCATGGATGACGAGCGCTTGTTGTGCGGCAGCGTTGGAGAAGTGTGTAGTTGCCGTAAAGCAAGGCTATTTTTATGCAGGTTGCAAGGCTGTGGATTATAGTTATATGGTGTTATTGTGGTCGTGCGAAGTACCGAGAGGGGGTAGGGAGATAATTACGGGTGTAAGGCTTTGTGGGATGCAGTATTGCTTCGTGTGATGTGTTCTAATTGATCTTTGTTTTAAGCGTAGCTGGGTGGGGTAAATGTTTTGAGGGTGTGAGCTTCTCCTTTTTGCAGCTCCTTGTAATACATGCTTCGCCCGTGTAGGTTTTGTTTTCTGCAGCTGAAGAAGAGTTCCGCGTGCTACTTGTTTGTCATCATGTGATGTTGTGCAGCGTTTGGCTATGGGTCTTTTGTTGTCCTTGAAAAAGTTATTCTTTTACTTTTGTCTTTGTGCATTCGATTTCCTGGAGTATCATCGTCGGAACCGCGATGTGGCGTGTGACTGTTCCTTACTACTGTATGTATTTTGTTTTTTATGTATGTGGTTGTGGAATTTTGTCCTGGTGTTTTTCATAACGTTTTTTTTTTTTTTTTTTTTTTTTAGACGTAGCCGTTGTGTATTTTGTCGTTTGTGCAGTATATTACACGGGGGTTAATTTTTGTTGTATGTGTAAGGTACAGACGTGATTCGCGTGCCGCCAAGGACGTGATGTATGCAAAGAATTGTGTTTGGAGAAGGGTTAGAGATGTTTTGTACTCAATTGTTCTGTGACATTAGTTTTCCAAGGTACCCATAACTGCATCACGGTATGTATGTAGTTGTGTATTTGTACAGCTTCAATAAGTAAGAAAGATAAAATATAAGGTTGTATTGTGTATATTTCTTGTAACGAGGTGGTCTTTGTACAGGTCTTGTAAGAGATTATTTTTATTATTATTGTGTTTTAAAATTTGACTTGATTATTTAGTGTTTATTTTTTATTATTATTTTTTAATTTTATTTTTTATTATTTTTTATTATTTTATATATATATATATTTTAAATTATTTTTATTTTATATGCTTTTAGGTTTTATTTATTTATTTATTTATTAATGTAATTTTTATTTTATTATTATTATTATTATTATTTATTTATTTTAATTATATATGTTTTTAAGTTTAATTTTATTTTTTTAATTTATTTTTATTTTTAATTTCTTTTATTATTTTTATTTTGCAGTTTACATTGCTTATTAGAAAAAATATATATATATATTATATTTTTTATCTTATGTTTTAACATTTATTTATTTGTTTGCTTTATAAAGAGTTTTTATAAACTATTTAGTTATTGCTTATTTAATTGTTCATTATTTATATGCTTTTCTAATAAATTTCTTTTTGAAAAAAGTAGAAGTTTTTACTTATCTATTAAATAATGACTGTTTTTAATTTCTATTATATATATTAAGGCGGGTTAAGTTGAAGGGTTTTTAAGAGAATCTGTGTGTGTGAAGAGCTTTCAAGATTATATCTGTGTGTGTGTGTGTGTGTGTGTGTGTGTGTGTCCCTCCCTATTCCCTCGTAATGGAGGTCCCGGGGGCGTAGGTCTTTTCAAGATGTAGGACCTACCCCTCCATCCGAACCAAGCCATAATTTTTATGGCTTACACACACAGCAAATTATTTATTCATTTGGAAGGGCTGGTATTTGATATGGTTTTGGAGTACTTTGGATGCAATCCCTGAGAGTCTGTATTCGTTGAAACCATTATTTTTAAGTGCCCTGATGGTTTCGTTGATTTCGAAGGCAGCGTGTTCACATTCAGATTCAATAGTCACTATGGTTATTATTTGAGGGATGAGTATGTTGAGAGACTGTGGCATGGGTCTATTAGCATCAGCCTGAATGAATCGTGTAATAGGGAATTTTATTTTTTTTCTTTTATCAAATTTCGTAGTTTTATATTTCCCGGTTTGTATATCAGTGATTTGTATAGTGGTGTTTAGAAAGTTGGCCTTAGTACCGATGGAATCACCGCGTATCACTGTTTTTTCTGTTGTTTGCTCATTGAGAATGATGAGGCTGAGTGGGTATAGGTAGTACTTGCTTCCTGTGTTAGTTATGTCGGGGTTAATAAATTCTTTTATTCTTGGATTATTAATTATGTGAAAGTCGTCAAAGTATCTGAACACATGTTGAAAAAGGTGTGTCAGATGCACGTTGTTTTTTTGGGTAATTTTTCGCATGAATTTGTATTCGTATTTAAAGGAATAAATGTTGCACCAGACTGGGGAGCAGCTTACTCCCATTGGAATTCCTAGTACTTGTTTCCAAACTTCGTTCCCGAGGGAGGTATAGGCGTTTTTGATAAGCCAGTTGTTTATTGCTTCTATGATCGTTTGGTTGAGTGTAAGATATCCATTGGGGGGATTTGTATACCAGTTGCATATAGGAGATAGGCTTTCTTTGTTTTGGTAGAGTTTACATGCTAGTTTAACATTACTCCCGTGGGTTTTTCTTGCTTGTCGGAATGCGAGTTGCGTGAAGAAGCGGATTGCAGCAGGTAAGCCATCTGGGGTGTCGTTCGTGGGGATGGTTTCATAACACCTGGTGATATCAGTGGAGAAGACTGAGTTTACTTTTGTCGGTAGATTATATATGTAGTCCGAGGTTGCATCAATAGGTCACCAGTAGGGTAGTTTATATCAAATGTCTGTGAATGTTTGGGATGTTAGCTCCCCACAGTGTAGTTTGACCATAATTATTAGTGCATTGAGTATAGACGCAGGTAGATCGGCAAGTGGTGATGACAGGACGTTTGCTGCATTAGTCAGCCATCTGAATGTATTTTTGTGTTTCTTATAAGTGGCGAATAAGTATGGTAGGTTCTTCTTTCCAATGGGGATGTCTGGGAACCTAGTCATAAGATGGTTTTCTAGTTGTGCGAGTAGGTCGTTTTTGGTGATGGGGATGTAAACAAAGTCTATGCTGGATAGCCTTTGGAGTGCGAGGCTTCTAATCAAGTTTATGCAGATGAGGGCAGGTGTGTTCGGGGCCTTGTCCATTCCAGAGATGTAGAAGCGTTCGGTGAGGTAGTTAATCTCGTGTTTGATTGCATGGTCTAGTAGGCTAATGTGTCTGTAGGGTTGAATGTTTTCTGTGATCTGTGCGATTGTGTTAAAAAAATCTTTTTTGGCTGCATCTTCGGACTTATTGTTAAATGGTGTTTCGAATCTGGTTATTAATGCGGTGAATTGCTCCCATACTGTTTTAACAGTCATGCTGATATCATGTTTCTTTGGTGTAGCAGGGGGTATGTGGTTTAGTCCATTATGGATGATTTTTCTGAGGTCGGGATTAGCTATGATTTCTAGATTTAATGTAGTAACGTGGGGTTTGTTCTGAGGGGTTGCAAATTCAGCTCCTAGTGCGTTGGTGAATTTGGCAAACTTCGGTTGCTGACAGTAACATCTTTCATCAGATTCTTGGATCCACTGTCGGAGATCAAAGTCTCTGAAGATAGCAGCAGGTTTATACAGGGTTTTGGCAATGTGGTTATCGTAGGTCCAGAAAAAGTTAGCTTTTCGAGGGTTATAAGAGCTTCGGGATTGTGTTTACTAAGAATTTTCTGAAAAATGTTTCTGAATTTAATCCGGTCCATTATGCGGTTCGCATAGTGGCAGCAGATGAATTGTTTGTCATTTTCTTTCTTAGTACGCCAGCCAAGTCTTCCACCTTCCATAGTGTGGAGTCTGTGTACCTGCAAGATTCAGACATGTAACAGTGTTGGGATTAATCATTGGGGTGATATATACAATACAAGCAGGATAGTTGTTTGGTGTGTGCAATGGGGCAAGTGATCATAGGGCTACGGGAATCTCAAAAAATGCAAGCGAGAGACGTTTGGAACCAGGGGGAAGGGGAGTGGTGGACTTAACGTGTAAGGTGAGCAGGGTAGATGGCATGGGGGGAAGCGAGGGATTAGGAATTGCATGTGGTAGTAGGGGCATTCAGGGTAGTTTTGTGTTGGTATGTGCACAATATACTTTGTAGTTTTGAGAGTGGTCAGGGGGTGTAGAGGGTGCAAAGGGATGAAATGGGTTGAGAAGATTCCTTCTGCGTAGGAGGGAGGGAAGAATGCACAATGCACTTTATTTAGAGAAGTAGTAGGAACAAAATTGAGTGACAACACAACTTAAAAAATAATAAAACAATTATAAAGAATAAAAAATAAAAACATATTATAACAAGTTTTTTAAATTAAAAATAAAAATAAAAATAAAAATAAAAATAAAAATAAAAATAAAAAATAATAAGAAAGAAAGGGGAATAATTTAGTAAAAAATGATGATCTGAGGATTTCTAAATGCCGGTTGTATACTATCAATATGAGATGTTGTCTTTCCTATGCAAAAAACATGGTCTGCATGCCCTGTCGGGCCCATGCAGTTATGCAGTCCTAATAGCGATACATTTCTGATCATTAATCTATAGTCTAGTAATGTTAGGACTAGGGCCCTGGTAATCCGGGCTCAACCTCCTGCAGACCTTCCTCCAGGATTCCCCGGAGTTCTGTGAATCTGTGTCCAGAGAGGTCTGTTCGCTGAACGCTCGGAGTAAGGATGAATCAGCACTGCTTGCACCATAGTTCTGCCGTAGCAAATCTATAGCAAATACAGGACGGAATGGTGTGCCTGGTGCAGGGGAGCAAGCATCGGTATCCTCGTTGCTGCTGACAGGGATGACTTCCTTGCTTGCGTCTGGATTTTGTTGCTCTGGCGGTTTGCTGTATGTCTCCAGTCTGGTCCATTGCCGAATGGTATTCTCTGCAGGCAGGTTCCATCCTGCAATGCGTGCGAAGTCATTGGTGGTTTGTGCGCAACCGCACTGCAGTTGGAGTGGTTGCAATTGTCGTCCGGCATCTGATTGATAGAGATGTTGGACCCATCGTGGATCAAGCAGATCCTTCTGCCTAGGGTCGTATGATGGCTGCTTTCTCTTTTGCTTACCCTTGTTTTCCTACGGCAGCTGAATCCTTTGTGTCTTGTTCCTTCTTCTTGCATTGGTCTTGTGCTCAGCAGGTAGTGGATTCATTGTGATGCTCATGAGCAATTCTCGTCTTCGTGCAGCTCTTGCTGTGTCGTCCTTATCTTGTATGACCGAGGTGGTATTGTTCAAAAGTTCAGGGATCGGTGAGTTTATGTGTGGATTTGTGTAGGGTCCGTGTGCATTAGCAAGGCTAACCGTATGTGCGGTGGAGGCCGGTCTGTTGGCATTGTTGTTGAGAGCACAGTTAGTGCGAATAGCGGGGGGTAGGCTGTGCATGTAAGCGGCCATGTTGTCATTTCTGTTATTGGTAGTATGTCTTCGCTGATGGGCATTGCTCTGTGGCAGACCATCGTGTAGTGATGATAGTGCATTTGCTGTGGTTGGTGTGCTGTGTTGTGTTGGGGAGGTTTTTTTGCCGTGCTCGGTGTGTGTGTTATGCGGTATGCCGAATGTAACAGGCGGTGGCTGCTGTGCACTAAAGGGGTGCGCTAGTGGGGTGGTGCTTGTGCATGCAGTAGTGGGAGTGGGGGTCTGCGTAGGAGTAGCATTGGTATTGGTAGCATGGTCAGGTGTTGGCGTGGTGATTGAGGCGGGGGTGTGTTGTGTGCGCATTGTGTTCGGCGTGTGTGTAGGAGTGTGTGGGTTAGTTAGTATAATGCCAGCAGGAGATTCGCCCAATCTCATCTGGCGATATCTTCTGAGCGAGTTGTCCTCGTTTTCCGGTAGCACGCGTCGTTTGTTGGTCAGTTGTGCGGCAATGCCTGCGGAGTTAGGTAGCAGGACAGCAGTGAACTTGATGAAGAAAGGTACCTCTTTGAAGTCTTCGTAGTTGATGATTTCTTCAGCCGTGATCTTCTTGTTTTGGATGATGAGATGTACGATCTTCATCACGTATTCCCTCATGAAAATGAAGACAATCTGGGCGAGGATAGCCTTCCTCCATGTGGTGCGCAGCAGGGCCTGGAACTCCAGCATCCTGATCTTGTCCGTTGGAGCAAGCGGATCAAGCTTGTCCTGGTTTCCAATCAGAAACCAGAGGAGGTGATCAAACCATGTGAAGTTTTTTTCACATCCTGGGCAAGGACATTTGAGGAAGGGCCTGCCTGCGTTCCATAACTTCTTGAGTTCGACAAGGTCGTTGGGGAACTTTGGTATGCCCTTCTAAAGAAGCGGTTTCCTTGAGCATTTCCCTCTTTCCAGCTTGTCTAGTGGAGGAAGTTTGCGCCAAGCCCGTTTCTGCCAGCAGGAAAGTAGATGGTGTCGTTCCTCGCGGCAGACCGGCAGTTTTCTATATCGGTCTCGCTGAGTCCTGCAAGAGCCGCGTAGGCGTCCACACTGATCGGTGCGGCGTAGTTGAAGGTGTCCAGCTTCCATAGCTAATTATGGACTCGTTGGACAACTTTTTCCATCCATGTGCTGGAGGTGAGTGGCAGGAACGGGCTATTCTTGGAGAACTTGTGATCCGCATCTCTGAAGGCAGGCAAGATGTCCGTATGTGCGTTGTTCCTTCTAGCGGCTTCCTTCTTCTTGAAGTACTCGAGCTCGATTTGAGTAAGAGACATTCTGCTGATGTACTCCTCAGAGAATGTGTCAGTACTCTCTGCAGTCGAGATGCGTCCATCAGCATCGAGATGTGCAGTATCATAGCTGTGCAGCTCGAGGATTATCTTCTCGCTCTTGGCTATGATCAGGTTGATTTCTCTATTCTCGATGGCTGATTTTCTACAAACGTCCGGAATGTTTGCAGCAAGTTCTTGTATCTTGTCATCTAGTTCCTGGGGCCTGGTTTGCATGACACATACCAGGGCCGCCTAGTCACTGAAGGATAGGTTCTCCATGAGGAACGGAGCATGTCCGTTCGTGGCGTTGTGTACTTGTAGGAAAACGTCTGTAGGGATTGCCAGCATGGCAATCTGACAGTGTGCAATGGGCGGCTTTTGCTCAGAAAAAGGCCTGATGCAAGGGGCCAATTCTGGGTGCTAACCCATTCGGATGTTGTCTTCATCCTGCAAAAATAAAAAAACATTTATTGAAAAAAAAAATAATACGAGGGTCATGACCAAGCGGTATTGGTATATAAAAAAGATTTTTTTGATACAAAGCTGGTGATTAGGTCTGCTACTTTAGTGCATGGTTGTGGCCTGTATTTTCTCGTACGAGCGGTCTTAACACTGATTAGGCAAGGGGTACCACGAACGTTATTCTCCTAAGGAAGAGGAACTATATATTTTTTGAAGGCTTGTTTGTATTTTAACGAGACTCGGGTGGGTTGTACTACGGGTTGTCAGTAGTGGTGTATGAAATATTTTCCTTTTTATGTGGCTGGTATATTTGTACGGTCTTTTGCAAGAGGTTGTCTTGGACATAGGTCCTATTTTTGGAAGGGGGGTATTATTTTTATAATGGTTATTATATTGACCCAGATGTATTGCTCAATCAGATGGTTGCGAGGGGTTGTCTTGTCAGGAAGGTCCATTATCCTTATTTCCATCTACATCGGTTCACTAGTGGTGGTTAGGTGTAGTGGTTTATTACTTAATTTATCTCTATTATTTTATTATTTTATTCAATTGATTATTTATTTCAGATGTGTTTATGTGACATGGGTATTATGTTATAAAAGGATTGTGTATACGGCATAGGTATCAGTTAATTCTATATCAATTCATGGCAGATAGGAGTGACCTTTTCAGGGGGTTATCTTGATCGCGGCGGTTCTGCATGTACGCATGGAGCGCTGCTTTGTGTGTTGAGTGTGTAGTCGGCTTTACCTTGCTGGAGCGCGGGGGAGAGGATAGGGGGGGAAGAGAGAATACGTGCGAAGGATGTAGAATGAGGAACTGATTAGTGGAAGAATTCTCACAAGATCAACAACGTGCGTATTGGTGTAGAGTGCATGCGTAAAAGGTATCATGCGCAGATTTGTGGCGGTAGAGTGAACAGGTGGCTGGGGTTTCGATTACATTGCGTCTGTGGATGGTAGGCCGGGGTGGAAGAACTTAAGCCGATCTGTGGGAGTGAAGCTTTGAGCGGGTGTTGCAGGCGAGGAAGAAGCTCTACTGTTGGCGGAGAAGTCAAGGGAGTTTTTTTAAGAGATGAACGGAACCCATATCTGTGAGGTGGAGGGAGGAGGACGAAAGAATCGTGTTATCAAGAGGGCGGAAGGGGCGAGCAGTATAGGAAGTGAAGGTATAAACTTAGTACGGAGGATTAGCGACGGCTACATCTGTGGTGTCTCGTGGACAAGTAGCAGGTCGTAGTGTGGTGATCTATGAGATGTTGGAGTTGCGTGATACTTCCTCTGCTCAAGACTTTCATTTCGTGGCGGCCTCTACTCGGTTTGGATATCGATTTTATGAGGTGGATGCGGGCGGTGTTTATGTTTTGCGTTTAGAGCTTGGGTTGGGATACGCTGGTGAAGATCTTCGTGAGGCAGTAGTTACCAAAATGCATAAAGATGTCCCAGATGGTTATGGGTTACGACGGGAGGATGTTGTGGAGCGGATCGTTCGTTTATTGTTGTCTGCAATTGCTTATGAACATGACGACCGTTTGTGTGGGATCGCAGAGTGGGAGACACTGTTGGATGCTCTGTAGAGGAGCGGCCATATCTCCATGGAGATCTTAGCGTGGATATGTAATGCTATACTTTTAGGGGGCTTGGTTTACAAGTTTTTCAGTGCGTAGTTTGTAGTGGGGTGCACGGAGGGGTGTTGGGTAATTTGTGTGTGAAAAAGCCATCATTAGATGGCTAGGTATTTCAGTTTTTCTTTTAATGTGTAATCGGCATGCGAATCATGTGTCATGCTGTCTTGTACGTAATTTTTGGCAAATTGCTCGTATCTTGTTGGATATATGTTGTACTCGGGCCCTAAAAAGGGGTCAGGATGAAGTGTGGCGGGCTTAATTAGTTTCAAATTTGCTTTAGGAAAAGGAGATTTGAGACACGGTTCATGTTCTGCAGGTGGGCGGAGTTTTTTGTCTGTAGAAGAAATGATTTGTGGTTTTCTAGTCGTTTTGGAAGGATTAAATGAGGAGATTTGAGAGAGATAGTTCAAGTAGTGCGATCCTCATATTATGTATGCAGAAACACCGAGTCCTAAAGTATATTGTCTCTAGAGATAAAAACCACTTGTATTTTTTCGAGTTTAGCATTTCCTGTGTTATCTGGTTTTAGCCAAGGGGGCTAATGATTTTCACGTGTGATAGGGGAAAAAGTTATGCATGAGGTAGATACTTGTATTCTGAAGAGTAGTTACGCCAGTTTTTCCAAATAATCTTGTAAGTACAGAATAACAATTGCTTAGATCTTATGGTAGTATAACCATCATTGTTCACAACGTAGTTCATATACCAAGTATGTGTCATCTGGGTGCATGGCTGCAGTACAATACGTAGGGTATGCAGGCGCAGTAACTGTGATGATATCAACGTATATGTTGATCTTTACAGTTGTTGTTTGCATATAGAAATTCGATGAACCGAGATATTCATACTATGTTGAGTGTGGTTCTTGGTGCTTATGCAAGTTGTGTGTTGTTCCTACTGCGCTTGCTAAGAGCTGGTCTTGTGGAGGAGGGCCCTTCCGGGCGAACCAATGCACAAAACCTAGTTATGTACTTTTAATTGAACAAAAATTTGTTGGATCAATATTTTCGTATTGGAATTTGCCTTAGGGAAGTTAAGTTTGGATCGGTGTTACATCTGGTGCATAAGCGTGGTTTTAGGTGCATAGGGTTTTTGGTGTGAGGAATTGTCTTTTCCTAATACAAGAGCTTCTTTGTTTTTGGTTATGCATGAGAAGCAGTATTTCCTAAGAGGAAGGAATACATGACGCGAGTTTCTATGTTTGGTAAACGAATGGTCTAGTGTCAAGAGCGAAGCGTCGGTATGTACTAATCAGAAGGAGTTGTTAAGTAAAACCTAAAGGGTTGTTATGTAATGAGAGATTGCATCATATAACTACTTTGCTTGGTTTCTATCTATCGTATTGATTGTTTATATGTACATTCTGGATATGTGATGTTCTTATATTATTAATGGCAGAAATGATTTTTAGTGCATTTTGGAGCATATGTACTTATTAATAATTGTTGGGGAACAACCGTGGATATTGTCACGGAATAGTTATGTAGTCCGACGT